GATTGGAATATCTTCTCCACAAATGCATTCTCGAGGATGACCATTAAATTAATGAGAGATGCTCCCAAAAGTTTTTTTTTTTTTTTTGTGAAATAGAGAAATCCTCTCAAAAGTTGCTTTCACTATTTCTAAATATTTGAGTTATTGGCTTGTTGCAGGTGCTATAAGTTGTAAACTGTGGACTATTTAGCTTTTTTCCAACCACTTCTTTGGATAGCATTAAGGGAGTTTTCGCTTACAAATAAATTGAAGGGATTGGCCTGCTTCAATGCAAAATGGAGGTGTATAAGTTTATCGTTGCTCTCATTTTCATGTCTTTGAGACATGTGGTGAACATTTTATCTTTCTTTTTTCTCCAATTAAATCTTCTTATAACTAGAAGGAAATGAAAAGGTTAAGACTATGTTCTAGTAATGAGCATGTTGTATTTGCAAAGTCGGTCTAATAACTATCTATTTTTCATGCATATGCTACCCGTGATTTATATTGTCGAACTCCTAATTAGTTGGATTGGAACATTTATAATTTAATCTGCCTGAAATGTTGCACCATGAAAATAAAGAGTAACTGTATAATAATCGAAAACATAGACCCTTATTACCACGTTGTTTAGTTTTATTTTATTTTATTTTTTAAATGAATATAGTCATATTAAGTGATTTTTCGGAATTGACTTATTCTTCAAATTAACGTAAGAGAATTTCACAGGATCCTAAAGATTCAACAGAATCACAGTTCCTGACGCCAGTATCACATGGTCCATCAAACAACGATCAAAATATAACACCTGAGACTCTTATTGTAGATTCTGGTTCAGTATCCGATCTTAGTACCAGAAAGCTTGTTAGTGACCATGTTGACGTAGTAAGGAATTCAATCAACCATTTACTGTATAACTAATGGATTAACAAGTGAATAACTAAAATGACAGGAACATTACCATTTTAATATTCCCATTTCTTTTCTTTTCTGAAATAAAATCTCTGTTGTAGGTCCAGAATTTGATTGAAAGGTGTCTGCTGTTGTACATGAATAGAGACGAAGTGGTGAGGACACTCTTTTCTTGCGCCCAAATTACACCTGGAGTTACAATGCTTGGTGATCCCCTATTTCTCTACCTGTACCACTTTGCCCTCCTAAAATGGAATACAGTTGATGCAATTGCTTTTAAGCATTATTTATTGAGAATGGAAAAAAAGATTATGGTGTGAGTGAATCCATTAGAGTTTGAAATCCTGAAAATGATGTACCATTTAGCACGAAAGCACCTAAACCAAATTTTGGTTTACATTAATATTGGTATTTAAGTTCATCTTGGCCCAACCTTTTAGGCAGTCTGCTTTTCCCTCGATTGAGTTCCAAAACTTTACAAAAATATTTTGGACATCAAGTTGCTAAAAGTTCTCATAAACCAGTGAAGTTATATGATACTGAAATCTGTTAAAATGTCTTTATCTGCTGCAGGTGCTAAAGACTGTTTTGACAAGTTGAACTAAAGTTTTTGGTCTATACATGATATGTTCAAATAGTGCTAATGTCCAAACTTTTTTAGAAAAATATAAAAGCTTTCTACCTTTTTAGCCATAATCCATGTTGTAGTTGTGTGTATAACAATCAAGGAGTCGAGATAGTTTTATTTTTCTGTTCGAAAGAAAGTTTTATATTGCCATATTAACACGTATTCTTTATATCATGCTAATAATTATCTTTCCATGCAGTAGCTCTAATATCCTTTCTTGTATTTAATATATTTCCATGGTTCAGTATGGCAGAGACTGGAAGAACAAAATGCTGATTTTTTCAAGGCCTACTATTTAAGGCTAAAGCTGAAAGAACAAATATTACTGTTCAATCAGTTACTTGAGCAGCAAGCCTGTCTGATGAACCAACCAGCACACCAGAAGCTTCCATTGCCTCATATACAAAGTGAAGCTCATCGCATGCCTGGTTAGTTCTACAATGTTGGAATGCTAGAAAAGATAGTAAAATCATAGTTGTCATCCTTATATGTGTGTCTATGTGAATGATATCTTTTCTGTTAATAATAAAGGTCTTATTTGTTTGTTTTCTTGTTCATTTCCTAACTTGAAAATTCGACACTATAAATATGAGTCATTTATGATTAACAATTCTCTTCTCTAAGTCATGTTTTGTAGTCAAATTTCTAGCCTTTGTTAAATGTTTCTTACATTTTGCTTTTGTTTGACTTCTCTTAGATACGGTTATTTAATTTTCTTTTCGCTTTTTGACTGGCAGAATTTGACTTAATAAGATTAACATTGTCAAATTTGATCGCAATACAGAAATTTATGGGAATCTATTATTTGTTCAAGTTTATTGGGATTTTAGAGGTTTTAACACCTTTTTACCCACATGGTTGTCTAATTCAGAACTTCTGCCTTTTTCTTTTGTGGTAAAGTAAACAATTTGCGGATGGGATACCCTGTTAACCAGCAGCTCCCTATTACATCTAGCGGTCATCCTCAGATGGGTTTCACTGGCGGTATGCCCAGTCATCATGCAGCTAGTGAAATCCCTGCTGCACACAGTTTCCAAATTCCCCAGCCGCAGCTAGGTTTCAGAAGAGAGTATGCTTTTCTCATTTTCTCCCTCTCCCCCTCTCCCATTCGTTATTGTCCTTGTTATTTATTAATATTCATCGCTTGTGTTACGTGCACACATAAAAAATGAACCTTCATCCTTATTATGCTTCTATATATTTCTTTTTCCATGCACAATTTTGCTCATATGCTAACATCTGTAAAGATTTCCCCTTCTTTTTCATCTTATGCGTGTTACTTTCAATTAAACATTTAATGTTAGATTATAATCTAGTTATGGAATGACATGGCTGGAAAAATGGTGGGACCTTATTGCCTTGCTCTGATTTGATAATGGTGATAAGCAGAAATTTAGCTAATTCAGTCCTTCCTAGAAGTGGTATCATGAACCCAGATACTTCTTTTGGCCCTGGATCGTCAACAGCATCCGGTGGGCAATTTGCTTTTGCTTCACCGCAGATGCTGGATTGGAATGTGAATGCACCCGTGATCAACTCTAATCTCCAATCTCAATTGGCGCCAGTTCACTCTGCCTTCCCATCTCAAATGGCGAGTTCAGAAGGATTGCAAATTGGGATGAATGCAGAGACGCATGGGCAGATGGGAAACTCTGAAGAGTCCTTGCAACAGTTGGATCCGATACCTTGGGATTTTAGTTTCCCAGACCTTGTTTTTCCGGAACTGACAAATGAGGAAGGTAAGACGTTTGTTGGTGCAATTTCTAGCCGTTACTTTACAGGATCACCATGGATATGTTTGGAACAAATGGATTATTTATGTGAAATTTATTTGGAGCACTCATAGTTTCTATAATTATTTCAAGCATGTGAACATAAAAATTCAATTCCTAATAAAATCTAAATGGAAACGAGCAGATATATTCTCTATTTTAAGGTTTACGAAAATTTGGTGAAATTTTAAAAATGAGTTCATTTTTCAGACTCCCACACTGACAGAACCATTTAATAAAATATGATGTTCTTAAATAAAATTTTTTTTCACAAGACTACACGTTCCGATATATTATACAAAAATTATTCATTTGTTCCAAAATACCTGAAAGCAATAGTTCTTTTTACCCATCATTTCTTCATTTTTAGACTCCATATTCTACAACTAATTCGCAGTTAATAAGAAATCGGAATTGAGGAAGTACCGAACAGCAACTTAAGATTCATATTACTGGCGAAACTCATTTGAAAAGGAAAATTAATCATTTTGGTAAAGTAAAACGATAATAACAGGGAAAATCGAATTGAATGTCAAACTAATTTGAAAAAGAAAATTGAGCCTTTTACAGTGTTGTCTAACATTGTTAATCTTGAGCTTTTTAGATAGTGTTCTTTCTAACACTGTTACTCTTTCTTTTTTACCTTCTTTTTTCAGTTGAGTTCATCTTTTCTGATGACATACCTGGGCCCCCGGTAGCAGCCGTTCAATCTGGGGAGGAAAATCCACCCACCATGCCCGGTGAGAATAAATTTTAAGCTGCTGCTTCTCTTTACAACTTAGGCGTTCTTTACAGAATCATTAAACTCTCTCTCGTAGATTATAAAGAAAGGTGAATATTTATGGTTGTTCAGGGTCAAGTAAATATATGTTATAAGTTCCCATGCAACGTGTGTTTCTGAATCATGGTTCCCATAATGCTTCCTTCTAGGGGCTACTAAAAATCTACTATATCCAAAGCATGAATTGAGTTTTTTTTAGGTCAAAACAATTTTGGAAATGAAATTTTAGAACTTAAAAATCGTTATTTAACTTGGAGAAATCGCACTGCTTGAAGCCAGGCTTTAGGGTAGAAAAGATCCAATTAACCACATGCAGAAATATGCACAATTTATGAAACCAGGATACAAATAGTACTCAATTAAAAGAGTGAATTAGGGCAAAAACAAAGCAAGGAATAAACAAATTGCCTCAATTGATGATATGCATGTTGGGCCCATGGTATGCTTTGTGCAAATCTGAATGTCAAATAACGAACTTTGAATGGATTTACACATGCATTTATAGAATAAGGGATTTCTAATCATGCTGGGGGTTGGCTGAATCTGCATTTTCGTGGTGGAATCTCACCACAATGCATGTTATGTTGTCAGCACTACCACGGGTGAATGCAGTCTCCGTCAACTTTCGTGCAGCTGCCTCGGGCTCTTCCTCTGTTTGGGCAAGTGAAACAGCATCCTGGAACCAGTAGAAACATTTTAGTGTAGGTATTAACAAGACTGTAACAGTTCATGACAAGTAGAAATATTTTAGTACAGGGATTTACTATGAATAGAAAAAATCAAGAATTCATCTAGAAATCAATGCCTAGCTATTAAGGACTGATGAAAATTCCATCTACAAGACCATAGAGTAGAAACAATTCACATCAAATTCTGTCAGCTTTGACAAATTTGGAGGTCACTTCCCAGTTCTATTTTGAACTCATCAATTTTGTATGATTTTCTAGTACACAAAAGGACATAACTTGTTCAAAAAACATAACCTTTCATCCCATTTGTTTGAAGTTGAAATTGCAGCAAGAAATAATTCCATAATTTTCACCATTTATCTCCTAGGCAAGGAAAACGAAATAAATGACATAAACTTGATAATTTATGGTGTTGCATCGGAAACCTCAGACATCCATCAAGCATATGATCCTTGAAAGGTAACGAGTTTCTTAAAGGATGATAGCATGTTCATTCTTTGAACAATAACAAATCCACAAGTGTTTTGTCTACTACTGAATCAGTGAAGATGTAGAGAGAGAGGAAGAGAAAAAAACTACTTTACCTCATTCGGGACCACATCCCATAGTCCATCGCTTGCGAGCACAAGCAACTCCAACTCTTCGTCTATTTCTTGATCCTAAATAGATGAACAAATTAAGATATCTCTCATTCATCTCTAACACAAAATTGGAATAAAATGGAAAAAGTTCCAATATCAAATAAGAGCTACAAAGGGGTTTTGAATCTGCAATTCAGTAACCCCTGAACATAAACCCACGTTCCAGCCCTCATCATTTTGACAACCTATTTTTAGTTGTGTCATCCACAAACATCCTTAATCAATTAAATGCGAGACAGTAGACACTAAAAATGTCGGTGAGGGAAAAGAGATGGGATAGGATATCACAAATTTATCCAAATAAAGATACTACATTTATGAAGCTTACCTGGATCTCGGGCTCTGCAACAACAAATTGTTTTAACATCCGGTTGCCAAAAGCACGGGACATAGCTAAAACACCTCCAACTCTCCAAGTCCCTAACAATAAAACACCTTCAGTTTACAGCTAAAAATAATCCCCCAAATGCCATAACAATGACATCAGTTTCCTCTCTCCAGCAATTTCAATGTGTAGTACAGTAAAATAAAAACTATATTTTGAAAATTAAGTCGTAGAGACGACTGCATGAGTCAGTTGTATTAAGCAAAATTCCCTATCTTTTTTAAATCAAAATTCTACATGTAAGAAGTAAAGCAAAATTCCCCATGTATTCTGTTTCTTGCTGTTTACGTAATCTTACCTGCCCACATAACGACTCCTCCAGCGCTTTCAATTCTCTTCCTCTCGTCACTTCTATTTGGCTTATGATCCTCAGAGAGAGGAATTGCTGTAGAAAAGGAAAAAACTGCTTTTACAAAATGACACAACATTCCATCATTCACTTACAGGGTTTAGAAAGAACTCCCTACCGATATTAAGTTAGGAGTTAGCTGTATGGCAGGGGAAGAAGAAAATAAAAAATTGATGTTAGTTTTCTTTCGTTTTTTTTTTTCTGTTTAGAAACTCTAGTTTTCTGTAATTACTAGTGTATTAAGAGAAGGACAGGTAACAGCTGCATAATACCTGGGGGAATCTAACCATTACTGGCCACCATGTTTGGCCGCAGTACTCTACATATAAGCAAAATCTTTAATGAAAAGCAGTGAATTGTCCAATTCCTCTCCCTTCTCTTTTTCCATTCTACCCTACTCTTTCTTATCTGTTCTACCTCCCTCATTTGTCTCTCTCTCTCTATCTCTCTCCGTAAACCATCAACTAAGGCTAACCCATGAACCAGTACCTTGACAAACTAGTACTGGAGCTCTCTGAACTGCCTCTTCCACCATCAAGCTGGCCAAGAACAACGGCAGATCCACTATGACTGCTGCCCAGAAAATGAACCAAACGGAGGAAACTTTACATGACATGCAACAAAGATTGTAGGACTTCATGACAGAGATCTATAAAACTGTCGATGCCAAACTATATACTAAGTTGGACACTTAGCTAGATGCAAACTTAGAACAACACCCAACTCCGGCTTATAGTGGCTGCAATGGTATAGGCTATGTTGAGTAACCAGCATCTACACACCAAAGCTCAATCCCTTCCCACCACCCTAGATCTTTCCTCGTCTAGAACTTTTCTCAAGCTCAAAACTTTCCTCTTCAAGCTCCAACTAAACACCACACCAAAAAAATAAACCATCATTTTGTAGTAATCAAAAGGCATATTGCCTACAACGCTGGCAATGGAGACGAGGTCATAGGTAGACTCAGATTTTTTCCACTTATCACTTGACACATGAGAATGCTCCCAAGGGTGACACCCCACCTTTGATGGTCAAAATCCCCAATCTCAGATAAGGAGGTGCAACGAGCTTCCAGATTTGCTTGGTGCCAGATGAATAGAAGGTCGAGATAGCTACTCTTTACTTGGGAGATAAGCCAAATACCTGGTATCAAGGCTGCATGCACAGCATGGAGAGCTGCGCTAGAATGCCTTTGAAGAAGAGATTTGTTGAAGGTTTCAGGATCTAAATGTGGCGAACGTTGTAGAGGAATTTAACAAGCTGAAACCGGATAACAATTTGTCAGATTACCAAGAAAAGTTCTTCAAACTAAGGTACATCATGCTAAGAGACAACCCATACCTTAGCAATTTACTTCATCTCAAGCTTTATCCGTGGGGTGAATGAGGAACTAACGCTGATAGCAAAGCTCTTCAAGACAAGGACCCAAACCCGGCCATGGGCTAGCTCAGTTACAATCTCGACACATTGAGGCTATGCTCAAGCACTAAAGAACCTAATACGAATACCTACCCTCCACCTCAAACTTTCCTCAGCAACACACCCAACCACAAAATTCAGCCTCCAACCATGCTCACATCAACACCAAAGGCAGAACAGGAGGGCATCGGTAGCTGACACCCGAAGGATCTCTAACTGATGTCACAGGTGCAGGGAATGCTACTCCATAAGGCACTAGTGCAGGCCTAAACAACAGATTATGATGGAAGCCACAGAAGAGAAGAAGAAGGAGGAAGTGCAGGAAGGACCTAAGGTGGACAAATACACAGGAGAGATATCATTCCCTGCCATAGAATGGCAGGAAAAGATGCACAGTCAAGGTTCGGGGATTCATTAACTCTAAGCTTATACTTCAGCACCCACTCCTTCATGGGATGCTAGAGCTGCCAAAAGGTGTGACAAAAACTCTACAGGTGCTAGTAGCAAAAAGAATGAGTGCTAAGCACACATAAAAATCCAATACTGAACTGGAAATATAATTGATGTTCCTTGCCACTTTGAAATACTGGATCTTGGACTTTATGGCATTGTATTGGGCATATAGCGGATGAAAACGCAAAACCTGCTGACCTCGAGAAGATGCATGTGGAAATCAATATGGAAGAAGGTTATAGATACAAGGAGTTGTAAACATATGAGTTGCAAACCAATTAACTGAAAAACGGCTTACCAGGTTGATTTAGAAAAGCTGGGATGATTTGTTCGGTGGAAAGAATGATGGTAGCAGAAGATGTGAAGGAAGTTGAAGAATACCAACCTCTTCAGACCATATTACATCAATACCGAGGATCTTGAAGGGGCCAAAGTCTTTTCCTCCCCTAAGAGACTTGGATCATGCCATCCCATTACTGTCAGGGTCACAACCAGTTAAGTAGAACAGTATAGTTACCCACTTTTCTAGAAGGGGATTGGTCTTGTTGCTTAGAAGAGACTTGGATCATGCCATCCCATTACTGTCAGGGTCACAACCAGTTAAGTAGAACAGTATAGTTACCCACTTTTCTAGAAGGGGATTGGTCTTGTTGCTTAGAAGTTGCCCTGCCACCAAGTGTCACCGCCCACCCAGTTTTCATATAATTATGCGGCAGCTAGTTTCCAACCAACTAATGAAGACATCTCTATCATAGACACAGAAGGAAATTCTAGTGGAGCTTGAAATGATCATGCAAAGGCGAGCCCACCACCGAAACAAGCAAGTGGAGCATGTTTTAGTTATGTCAAAAGCCAATTTCTAACACTAAACCTTGAGAACAAGGTTTTGCAGCAAGGTAAGGGACATGTTAGGAATTACCTGTATGTCGGGAGAAGAAAATATTTTTTAAAAACAAAAAAATTAAATTTTACGTTTTTGTAAGCTTTCCGTTACGGTTTCCTTAGAAACCTTGGACACTATACCACTATATGAGAGTATTACTCTTACTGGCAACCCCTGACCTTATATATATCTAAGACTTTTCTCAAATGAAAAGCAGTGAAAAATTATCATAATTGCTTAAAACTTATCATAATTGCCTTATCCCTCTCTCTCTCTCTCTCTCTCTCTCTCTCTCTCTCTCTCTCTCTCTCTCTCACACACACACACACACACACACACTAAATTATCAACTATTCCTGTACTATTCACATAATGATTTTTTGAATTTACTTTGCCATGAGTACATATTAATTTGCTTACAAGTCCCGGTTGGTTTTGTGTGATTTCCTTTTTTTTTTTGAAATAAAAGAGAAGTATAACATTATAAACAAAGGTACCAAGTGGCCAATAAGCATCCCAATCTCTCATGTTATGACCCAACAAAATAGAACCAAAAGTGTTAATCCATCTATCTCTAATTTTTACAAAGTCATTTTCAATACTCTCAAAAACTCTCGCATTTCTTTCCTTCCACACTACCTAAAAAATGGTAAGCAAAACTAAGAATAAATGTTTTTTCCTTTTGCATATACCTGACCAAGCCCACAGTTCCTTACTAACCGTCTCAGTTATCCCATAAGCCCATAC